CACATGGTGCAATGGTACTTTCCATGCAGCCCCGTGCGAGGGTTGTTCAATCTAATTCTTCAACATGGGACTTTTCCAAACGTAAATTTCCCAAAATGCGGCGGACTAACACAAGAACTCAAAACATCATAAGACCCCATGTTCAATAGTTCAGTGCAACTACCTACATGATAAAGGCCCAGATCCTGGGAATGGCCCGTGAACCGAAATGGTCGATGGCGTCCAGGATCCCGACACAAAATTGAATTTTACAGGTGCAGATTGGCGCTGCAAGGTGCTGTGTTTGGGAGTCCCGGCCAGCCCTCACCCCGCTACTGCTGACTCCCTGAAACCACACTCGAAAAATGCAAGGCCAGAGCGCCAACGAATAGTTTAGGACGACCCGAACGAGTAATTCCCTTATACGAGTGTCCCCCTTGCGTAATGTTTGTTGGAGACCTGCAATTTCTGGAAACCCACATCCCAGTCTATCACTCTCCATCCCTACACAAGCCCTCTGCTGCCCTCAGACTTAGCTATGAATGCCAAAGTCATATTATAAGTAGATACTCAATACAATTTTGCAAAACTCTAAAGACGGCTATAATAATGGGACCAGTGAAAGCCCATCCCTAATCCCTAAACCCCAGGCCCCAGACCCTAATGGCCCAAAACCCCAAGATCTACACCTTAAGCCCTAAACTCTGACCCCTGAGCCCAAAGCCCCGAACCCTAAGCCCTAAACACGAAGCCCTCCTTAGACCTCCTTAGACCCCTATTGCTAAACAAACCCCCTCAAAACCCAGCCCACTGGGATTCCAGGCGAACTCCAGCCCTCTGCTTCGCAGGGCGGGACATTCCAGAAGCCTCGGACTTTAGAATTTATATATAGCTTTAGGGTCTACGTTTTAGAGTTATATATAGGGTTCTATAATGGGGTTCTTGGGGTTTAGGGTTTAGGGGTTTAGGGGTTTAGGGGTTTAGGGGTTTAGGGGTTTAGGGTTTAGGGTCTAGGTTTTATGGTTATATAGGGTTCTATAAGGATGAAATAAGGATATACGCATAAGGATTGTATAGGGATAATGGGTTTTGGGTTTATGCGTTCTCGAGATTTAAGGCATATAGGGCTGAAGGTAGGCTTAAGGCTCAGGTTTGATCGCTTGGGTTTAGGGATTGAAGTTTAAGGGCTTCGGTTTTGGGCTGAGACCATAGGCTTTAGGGTTTTGAGATTAGGATTTAGGAGTGGTTTAGGTCCAGGATTAGGGAGTAGGGTTTCGAGATTAGTCTGGGAGTGGGTGTATGTGGGATACACAGAGATTTGAAGGCATTTATACGATATCTAGGAATCACATAGGGCTTATATAAATTCAATGGAAGAGAAAGCGAGGCAATGTTATGCTGGAAGGGCTTGCTCGGAGGGTCACGGGGACTTGCATACGTATAGCCCCCACAGATAGCTATATATTAAGCGCAAGTATCTCCGTTTTGAACCTGCTTACTCAGTCCCCTTACCCTGCCAGCAAGTGTAGTGGAACATCGAATCGAATGGCAAAGAAAGGGGAGGATGAAATGGAAACTGGGATTTTAGGGTGGTTGTGGAGCTTTGGTTTTAGAATTTGGGCCTCGGGGCTTGGAACGAAGGAGGTTGCGCGGTTTGGGGGTTTGGGGCTTGGGCGATTAGAAATGGAAGAAAATGGGCTTCCCAATACGGGGTTCAGGGTTTACGGTTTGGGCGGGGTACCCTTGGCCCTCAGCAGATATCTCCTTCTGGTTGTCGTGGTCTGTCAGAGCCCTACACCCTAAACCCTAAATTGCAGCTCTTGGCAATGCGACTGGTAATCCAGACTTCTTGCTGCGGCGAGGACCAAGGTAGGGTTTAGAGGTCAGCTGGAAGCTGGTCCTGAAGGCATCCTCACCCACAACATCAGCCTTGAGTTGTGCCCATGGCGACGTAGGCCGTTGTAGTTACAAATGAAACCGCCAACATGCCGCCAGGCGTTTAGAGTGCCTTGGGCAACTGCTGGGGTCAGAGTGGAGGGTACCGGTTTCAGCCTTTGGGCCTTGAGAGCCGTCAGCGCTGGGTTTAGGAGTTTCAGGTTAGAGCTTAGGGTTTGGAACTGTTAGGGTTGATCAGGTTTGAGGTTCGAGGACTTTGAAACTCCTAATTGAAAGCTTTCAGGGTTGACTGACGACGCCCGTTAAAAGCCCATATAAAGTCTTACAAAGCACCAGGCAACGTGTTGAACCTCAAACACATGGAAAAACGAGGCAATATCAGAGCGGTAGCTGAAGGAAGGCGAACTCGGTTTAGGGTTTAGCGCTTAGGTTTAGGGCTTAAGGTACTAGCACAGCTACTGAGGTCATACACACCATGCACTTTCTGTTGCATCTGGGGATGGGGCACGCGCATTGGCAAGCGCTACGTTACTCAGACTACCAAATCCACACAACACCTCAACAACTACAGCTTCTGGTACAATTCACAACACCTACACTCCAAAATGAGCCTGGAACCCCCCGCCTCTTAAGAGGAGCCTCTTTGGTACTTTCCTCAACAGAGGGACCCCGATACAGACCCCTAAATTCAATAATCCTTGTTTGGGGCTCCGACGGCCCGTAAACGCGCAAAAAATGCGTTTGGGGACCCCCAAGAAGGTGCGTGCAGGCATTATGTTGGAAAATTAGATTTTTCGGGCTGCAGGGCTGGGGAATAAGTCAATACCCAAATCGTATCCACTGCAGGTGAGGTGGGTCCAAAAGTTGACCGAACATTATTGCAGCCCTAAGATAGGAGCTCAAAGACGAAACCTTAAACCCTAGACCCGAAACCCTAAACCCAGCGTGCCCAAATGACATCAGAGAGGCAGAGCCCGCTGGCGGAGCAAGCCTGCATCAAACTGGGTTGCTGTTAAGGAACTTAAACTAAGTCAGCTATAATAAGGAACACGTGTTATTTGCTGTAAGCCCATACTATGGTAACTTGATTTTGAGTTCCTCAACAGCAACCCAGCAAACGTATCAAATTGTGGAAACTACCATATGCTTTTCTTTCAAATGGGGGGGCCCAAGAGACCCTGGGGACGTGTAGGGACTATGAAGGAATTCTGGGGTTCCTATTCTGCATTATATATGGGTAGTTCTGAGAAACACCTTTGTTTATCGAGGACTGTAAAAAGGGTACAATTATAGGATTCCCTTCTTCTGTCCTCTACTAACAACCAAGGAGTATAGAAATGGCAAGTATAGAAATGACAGGATTCGTTCAGGTGTCGGTTGGGGGGGAAATGTTTCGAATCTCGGCTTGGGACTTCTTACTTGCAGCTGTGGTCTAGGATTTGGGTGGTTGTCAAAATTATGGTCCTTTTTGGGATCCCTATTATAATACAGCACCTCATATTTAGGGTACCCAAAAAGGGACCATAATTTTGACATCCACCCATATGAACTATAGTATCAACTCCTGGGATCCCCATAATAAACCCTATAATAATCTCCTATAAAGCTCCCTATAGGTAATTTAGACCATTTACAGCTGGGGGTTCAGGGTCTTTTTGGGTTTGGGCTTCAGGTTGCTAAAAGGAGCAGGCGTCATGGAGGATGACATGGGTTTAGGGTTTAGGGCTTAGGAAACCTGACAACAACAGCATAGTGTGGAAGCCAGACGGCGTAGCAATATCAGCCCGTTATGTTCACGATGGAAGAAAGTCTCCTACATTACATTTGCCGCGTCTTCAGTGTGTACAGTGGGGTGGGCCTCGAAGCAAAAGACGCGCTGCACAGCATCGTGGAGAACCGTAAGAATACGAAAAAGGACTGTCAAAATGCCTAAGCTACAAATCCTAAACCTAACTTTACACGCATCAAAACACCACTCCTGAGCTTACACTTTGTACATAGAATGTTGTCGAAATTATGATCCCATTTTAGCTGCCCTAGACATTTAGAGGCCCGAAAAAGGGATTACAAGTTCGGCCAGCTACCATGTGCAACATGTTTCGAGCTAAGGTGGCTATTTTGGCGAGTGACATGCACACCGAATCGTGCGGAGGTGTCCCAACATAATTGAAAGACAAACGCGCGCAGTGCGAAATCCCGAGCACAAAACTGAAACCCAAACCCTAAACCCTCAACCTGAAAGCCAAACCCTAAACCCTGAACCTTAAACCCAACCTTGAACCCTAAACCTGGAACCCAACAAGCAACAAGCGGGAAAACAACAAAAAAACAAAGACGAAAGCTGATGCTGTGCAACTTGAAGACCCTCCATCCTGAAACCTGGTGAAACACATGACCCAAAAACTGAAATCCAAAGGTCCAAAGATTAAATCCTGAACTGCAACAAAACAGTTAGGCAATAACCCTAAAGCCAAAGCTATAACCCTAACCTCAATCTATCAAACCAGGCCTCTGTGCCGCCATCTGCCGCGGGCAGAGTGATGGTCGCCGTGCCGAGGTTGAAAAACCGCGATGTCACGACCTCGGGTCGGCTGATTGGCAACTATCCCTATACAATACCAGTGTCTGCTGAGAGAGGACTGTTGCATGGATTGTCAAGCTGGGCTACGGCTCAGACAACCCTATTGCTGCGACACTGTGGCAGCAAGTAAGCGCCAAACTTGTTGCTGCAAGCAACCCTTAAAGAGGCACTGCTGTAGAAGTCGAAGCTGCCTACATGAGGCACCTCACTCGTGCCAAACCTCTTTCCTTCTACTCAGCATAGTGACAGACACTCCAAGCAAACAGAGACTGGTCAGGTCGCCAAGCTTTTTTCCTGTGGCACATGCGATTTAAATATCTTGAGAAATTCCTATCTAAATGAGATCTAGGGGCAACTTTACCCCGCCGGCTGCGCACTCCGCCCCTTCTGCGTGCTTCTAATTGACAAGATTTTCGGGGCGACTCCTGGGCACTCCACCCCTTCTGAACTCTTCTAATTGACAAGTTTTAAGGGCAACCTTAGGCCAGCTGGGCACTCCACCCTTCTTGCTCTGACCGAGGGGTAATGTTGCCTCTGAAAGCTCTTATCGCCTCGGCGACGGCGACCGCGAGCGGTCCATGATCTCAACGGTTTCACCGTTGTCCTTGCTGGTTAACTTTCCCCAGAACTCATCGTCCGCAATTCGCACGTGAACTCGAACGAAGACTTCCGGGCCTACCATTCCTTCTGTACAGTGCTTCAAGGCCCAAAGCCTGCCTTGGTTGCTCTTCAATCCCCCCAAAAAAGGCTGGCTTCAATTTGAGCTCACCTAATACTAATATGTAATTGGGAACCCAAGAAGCTATCAAGTGCTAAATTGGTAAAACCCTAAACCCTAAACCGCGTCCCACCAAGTTGCGGTTAGATAAAGATCGCCAGTGCCCTTCGTACCAAACGACATCCAACGGCTCGAGCTCGCGGAGGGGGTCCACCTCAAGATTTAGGGGGCTTCAGGGTTGAGGGTTTGGGGTTCAGGTTTCGGGGTGTAAGCTTTGGGGTTTAATGCTTAAGCAGGGTTGGTTTGGGGCATACAGATGAGAGTTTAGGGTTCTGAGTCAGGGTTTAGAGGCATTCGCAAGAAGATTGTCGGCAAACAAATGGACCACTTGAGTGCAAAGAACAGTGCGGTAAATGGCTGTACCTCGGGGCTACTGCTTGCCGTAGCCTGCAGACGGAGCTTCTCTTCCAGTTAGCAAGCTTACTTGGAGGGTCAGGGGGACTTCGTAAGTAGGTTAATAACCCCTCTAACCCATATAGTAACCCTAACTAGCCCCATTATTAACCTACTTACTAAGTCCCCCTGACCCTCCAAGTAGCCACAACTACTTGCAACTTGCCCTGAGTCAGGAGAAATTACTGGAAAAATCGCAGAGTCTCAACGCGTCAGACACGAGCTCCTGACATGCCACTGGGACCGAGCCATTCCCTTACGTGCATCTTACTAACTAAGCCATCATTGCACATAATTGTTTCTCAGTTGCATGACTTAGTAGCTACTATTCTTCGACCCTAAGCCCTTGGACACGAACACCGAGCCCAAACGCCCCGCATGCCGCTGGGTCACAGCTCGGGCGTTCAGGTCATTCAGAAGCTTGAAGATTGGCTGGCCATTCCGGAAAACGGGACTGATACTGCTTTGCGTGAACCTTGCGGAAGGAGCATTGAAAACTCATAGCAGCAGAGTACCACCTGAAGGCAGATTGTATGTGTATGTCTCTCTGTAATTGTGACGACTGGCAAGCTGAGTGCTCTCGTGCCTACAGAAGCAAAGCCAAACGTAGCCAGCCCCGCAAGGTTACATCAATTCCCCTACTGGGTTATGCCAGTTCTAGAAACTGCCCACACTCTGGCCTGATCTTCTTTGCATTCATCTTCCGTTCCAAGCGGTAGAAAACGGTGCCCACCTGTCCGAATCAGAAATGAAGTCGTACCAGGTTTGGTCAACTGCTTCTGCAACAGGAGCTAGGCGAAGCAGGACCCTAAAACCACTACTTGTATAATACTAGGTAATTGCCACAAGAGGCAAAATTTGCAAAATGATCTGAAAGTGCTCCTTTTAATAACTCTGAGGAACTGGTGCAAAGACCTACGCAGCGCGTGTAGAATCCCTCTAGAATCGAGAGTCCACCCCCTGCACAACCCATGGCAGTTACACAACCCTTTTGATAGCACCTCTCAAACTCATATACCAGAAATCTGCATTCAAAATACAACCCCTGTTGTTGTGACACGCGTACGAATGGACTCTGAGCACTATACTTGCAAGCTCATGGGTAATTACGAGCAAGTAGGGTTGTAAGTCTCCAAATATGGTTATGACGACCAGTTATAACCAAAGCTAGACTACCTAAACCCCTAAACCCTAAACCCTAGACCTTAAGCCCCAGTGATAACTCCTCATGAACCAAGCATTCCCAAGAAGACGCTTGGCCTCGGCAGCTGACTCTTGAAAAAGGAGCTGCTCCTCCTTGGCGATAGACCACCTCGGATTCAAAGCCTGTTCCACACATCAACTTGCATCCCACAAAGCTACACAAATGGGTGGTTGTCAAAATTATGGTCCCTTTTTGGATCCCTATTATAATACGGCCCCTAATATTTAGGGTACCCAAAAGGGGACCATAATTTTGACAATCACCCAAATACCCCAAAATACGACTAGGATCATTGCTTCTAGCCCTTTGATGGTTGCTGATTCTCACTGGCCAAGCTACTGGGAGGCAATTGCGGCCTCCACCTCGACCCGGCCCGCGCCAGGGACGGAGAGCTTCCTGCGAGCTGCATCGTAGACGACTGCCCCAGCTCGTTCCTGGCGAGAATTCTGCAAGATTTTCATCTTGCAAAGAGCAGCAGAATGAGACTGTACTAGTAGTTTCCATTTTCTTTTCCATTCTCCCTATATAGCCCCAATATACTAGGTTATACCCCCTATATAGCCCCCATAATCCCTATAGTTTCTGTGGTGTTCTTGTACTTGCCGAGTTCACATATCCCAGAGTCTGGTCTGCCACGGTTTGGGTTGACATGGTCTAATCCGCTCACAGCGTTGGGGCGTCAAGGTCTGATCCGCTCACGGTTTTTGGGTGTCAAAGTAATTCACATACCGTTATGAGGTTTCACGGTCCGGCCCGCTTGTATTGTAGAAGGCGTGATCTTCTTGCCCCCTCTTGGTTTCAAGTGCCATGGTCGGGCATGCACACTGTCACTTATTTCAAAAAGTCACTCCATCCGTCAGCAGTGCTGGCATATCACCGTGTGGTTCCCATCTGGTTGGGGGGTGTCACGGTATGGTCCAGTCAGGGCCTCGGCAAGGAGATGGCCTCTTGCACTCTGTCAGGGGGAATCCTAGCTGGGCGTTCGAGATTGCGAAAGCTGGCTTTAAGCAAGTAGAACGAGCAAGTCCGCTTAGCATATCTTACCTAAACCCCAAAAGTATGTAAAATAATGGCCCTAAACCCATAGTAACAGCCATAAGGGCCATTATTTTACATACCTTTGGGGCCAGGGTAAGACTTAGGAGATGTTCAGCTTTGAATTGCTTTGGATGGGCTTGCGGGTTGCATGGACTTTTAGACCAAGCAGAGCCTTGCTGGTTAGGGGATTCACACATCCCACAAGCCGCCAGCAGCGTGTGTTTCTTGTTTTATGTCCAAAAGGAACAGGTGGCTTGCTTGGCATGTGGCTGCTTTTGGAATAATACGGCCCCGGGTATTTAGGTATCAAAAACCCAGAATTGGTGCACACCACTCCCCCCATCATAATCCATGTAGACCTGTATCCAGTCCCATTTTCCATGTCATTTTCCATCTGCTTTACCATTTGATTCTCCATTACCCTCAACCTGTTCGTGTTGCATGTAGCACAATGACCCATGCAGATACAATGGCAAATATCTACACAGAAGCTTTGACTAGGACAGATATGGCTAAGCGTTCCGTGTACTGTCTTGTAAACTAGACTCGGCCACATAACGTGCTGCAATCTGCAAGCGTCACAGGGTCTCAAAACTTGCAAAATGTCACATTTGATGTTCAACTTCCACAACCCAAAGGCTCATCTGGGTGTGACTACATATTGGCTCCCTCGTCATGGGTTCATGGGCTCAAATCCAAACATGATAGACGGTTGAGATCCCATCCTATGGTTCCAACTACCCACATAGTATCTACGTCGCCAGCAGAATCACAACATAGTACCTCACTCGGGCCCAAATATGCGCTCCATCCAGATATATGTAGATACATATAAAAGCTCATGCATACATCTACATAAGCATAAAACAAACAGAAACAGAGGCACACACGTGTATGTGTACGTGTATATATATATGTATATATGTATACATATATATATATATATGTGTACATCATTTTGTATATATGTATATATATGTGTATATGTAGATATAGTGATGCTTGGACCCTGGAGCTGGGCCCCGCCTTCGCCTGCATCGGGCTCGGAGGCACCTCCGCTGTCATGGAGCTCTGGAATCGGCCGCTCTCAGATCTGCGCCAACCTGAGACGCTACAGGCTTTAGGGTTTAGGGTTCAGGGTGTGTGCAGAGATTCAGGGCTGAGGGCTCAATTCTAGGGCCGAAGGGGTACCCAGTTGCTAACTTCCCTCGGCCAAAAAGTTTCGAATCGGATTACTGGGATCCGAAGTGTCAGGTGTACTCACCCAGCTACGAAGGTTAAAGATTATGAAAAAGATTTGGTATTTTTTATGTCAACACATGGAAAAAGTTAAACAACCAGGTAGCTGGAAAACGTGGAAGAATTGTGTGTTGTTTTGACTTACCTTTTTCCGCCTTTTATCACGTCCAGCTTCTAGAACTGCCGTTTTTTTCACCATTTTGTTCACCTTTTTTCCACCTTTGTTTCGCCTTGTTCCATTATTGTCCAACTTTTTCTACCACTTTTTTTCGAATGTGCTAACCTTTGTTCACCTTTTTCGTAGGACTCCTTGGAAAGCCCACAAGGTCGATGGCCCGAAGCTACCTTTGTGTTACCTTTGGCTTACCCTTGTTTTACCTTTTTTCATCGTTTTCAAACGTCCGCTTTTGAAGGTAACTTTTTGTTACCTTTTGTTTACCTTGGTCCACCTTCTCCAGGTACTTTATGTTCACCTTTCTGCTGGTGTGTTACCTGTTTTCTACGTACCCTTTCTGGCTATCTTCATTTTGCCTTTCTTTTGCCGATCTAGCCTTCGCATGACTTATAGAAAGCACTACCCATACTAGGTCATAAGTAAAGGATGTATGCTGCATTGGACTTTAGTCCCCTCCCGTCAAATCTGAAGCCCCTCGGAGTAGCACCCAGCGACCAAACCCCAAATGTAGCTCAGCTGTTTGGGGACCCAGGCTCTTAAACCCACATGACCCAAACAGTAAACCCTGGGCGAAATCCTGCATGACCCTATGTGCCTAGACCTAGGAATTATGGTACTATAGTGTACTATATACGGGTCATGCAAGATTGTGTTTAGAAACCTTCAGCAAAGGACCTGGCGACGACCAGCTGGCCTCCTCGACAATGATCTCTGCTGGAACAAGCATTCTGGTCTGGCCGAAATCCTGAGTCGAAGCTGAAGTTTTTGGGTGGAACCTAGGAATGCAGAAGGATCTAGGGCATTATGGCCTTAGGGATATGTAGGAGTCTGAGGTATTGCGGGGTCCCTCGTCAAAAGCCTTTGGATGCATTTCAGAGACTGTCAAATCACGGGTGAGGGTTTGAGACATCAGGGCTGAGGTCTAGAGCGCCTCCACGGGTTAAGGCTTTTGGCCTTTTAGGGTTTAGGGGTTTAGGGATTTAGGGTTTAGGGGTTTAGGGATTTAGGGTTTAGGGGTTTAGGGATTCAGGGTTTTGGGGTTTAGGTTTTAGGGGTTTAGGTTTTAGTGGTTTGGGATTTAGGGTTCTGTTTATAGTGGTTTAGGGTTTAGGGCTTTTTGGGGGTCTGGGGTTTATGGACTTAGGGGTTGAGGGTTTTGGGTCTAGCGGTTTTGGGGTACGGGTTTTAGGGTTTAGGGGTTCAGGGGTTAGGGTTTTAACGCTTATCTGCAGCATGCAGGCTGGAGCGCAGTCTGCCCAAGCTAGGGATGGGTCTGACAGGCTGTAGAGGATTAGAGGATTGAGAGCGTGATTCAATCAGGGTGACGAGTTTACGGTGCCATCGAAGGCCTAAACGGTAGTTCATCAAAACTCCTGTTGCCAAAACGACCATTCTGAAAATTGTTGCTTGACTATTTCCCCCTTATGCACCTACAGGATCCAAATAACTTTTGCAAGAGCCTTTAGATCAACCCCTAAATACGCAAGTTGACATACTTTCCCAAGCAAGCATCTGACGGAGTTGCCGCCGGAGCTTGCGGCGGCTGACCACTTCGAGCGAGATCCGATATGCTCTGAGCTGGCCGCTCTGCCGAATCGAGCACGAGTGCCGGCGGCGGTGGCTTAGGTTTGGGAGCCGTCTTGGGGGCCGTTTCCTGCGCAACCTTGGGGAGTGGTGCCTGTGAAGGTAGCTCCTCCAAATTTAGCAGATTTGCTTGTGGAGGTGACTTTGCTTGTGGAGCTGGTTGCGGAGCCGCCTTGGGGGCATAGGGGTTTGGAGGAGCTTTGGGGCCCCGGGTTGCCCCTGCAGGTGCTGGCCGTGGCGCATCCTCCGCCGTCGTGCAGCTTTGGGATCGGCTGCTCTCAGATCTGCGCCAACCTGAGACGCCACAGGGTTTAGGGTTCAGGGTATATGCAGAGATTCAGGGCTGAGGGCTCAATTCTAGGGCTGAAGGGGTTACCAAGTTGCTGACTTCCCCCGGCCTAAAAGTTTCGAATCGGATTGCAGGAATCCAGAGTGTCAAGTGTACTCACTTAGCTACCAAGGTTAAGGATTATGAAAAAGTATTTGGTATTTTCTATATCAACACATGGAATTAAAGAGGCAAAGAAGTGTTAAACAAAAAGATAGCTGGAAAAGGTAGAAAGTTTGTGTTTTGTTTTGGCTTACCTTTTTCCACCTTTTTCCACGTCCAGTTTCTAGAAATGCCGTTTTTTTCACGTTGTTGTTCACCTTTTTTTCACCTTTGGTTCGCCTTGTTCCATCATTGTACCACGTTTCCATTTTTGCTACCTTTTTTTTCGCATTTGTTAACCTTTTTTTCATATGCTCCTAGGACTCCATCCCACAACTTCGATGGCCTGGAGCTACCTTTGTGTTACCTTTTGCTTACCCTTGTTTTACCTTTTTCATCTTTTTTAAATGCCCACTTTCTGTTACCTTTTGTTTAGCTTGGTCCACCTTCTCAAGGTACCTTATGTTCACCTTTCTGCGGGTGTGTCACCTTTTTTCTACGTACCCTTTCTGATTATCTTTACTTTGCCTTTTGCCTCTTAAACTTTCGCATGACTTGTAGAAACCACAACCAATACTAGGTCATAAGTTAAGGATGTACTTATGCAGCATTGGACTTTAGTCGCCTCCCGTCAGTTCTCTGAATTCTGAAGCCCCTCGGAGTAGCACCCAGCAACCAAACCCCAAATGTAGCTCAGTTGTTTCGAGACCCAGGCCCTAAATCCCACATGACCCAACCTCTAAACCCTGGGTGAAATCCTGCATGACCTTATGTACCTAAATCTAGGAATTACGATACTACACGTAGTGCAGTATATTAAGGGTCATGCAGGATTGTGTCCAGGAAAACCTTCAGCAAGGGACCTGGCGACGACCAGCTGGCCTCCTCGGCGATGATCTCTGCGGGAACAAGCATTCTGGTCTGGCCGAAATCCTGAGTCGAAGCTGAATTTTTGGGTGGAACCTAGGAACGCAGAGGGATCTAGGGGATTATGGTCTGAGGGATATGTAGGAGTCTGAGATATTGTGGGGCCCCTCTTCAAAATAATTTGGATGTATTTCAGAGACTGTAACATCACGGTTGAGGGTTTAGGACATCAGAGCTGAGGTCTAGAGCGCCTCCACCTGTTAAGGCTTTTGGCCTTTTAGGGTTTAGACGTCTAGGGATTTAGGGTTTAGGGGTTTAGGGATTTGGGCTTTAGGGGCTTAGCATTTAGGGTTCTGTTTGTAGGGGTTTAGGATTCAGGGCTCTGTTAGTAGGATTTTAGGGTTTACGGTTCTAGGGGTTTAGGGGCTTAGGGTTTTAGGGGTTTAGGGGTTTAGGCGTAAGGGCTTTAGGGTTTAGGGGTTCAGGGGTTCGGGCTTAGGATTTATCTGCAGCATGTAGGCTGGAGCGCAGTCTGCCCAAGCTAGATACAGGTCTGACAGGCTGTAGATGATTGAGAGCGTGATTCAATCAGGGTGACGAGTTTACCGTGCCATCGAAGGCCTAAATAGTAGCTCATCAAAACTCCTGTTGCCAACACAACAACTGAAAACAGTTTTAACTGCCGTTCCCCTTATACACCTACAGGATCCGAATAACTCCCTAAATACGCAAGTTGACAGACTTTATCAAGCAAGCGTCTGACGGAGTTGCCGCCGGAGCTGGCGGCTGAACACGTCGAGCGCGATCCGATATGCTGTGAGCTGGCCGCTCTGCAGAATCCAACACGAGTGCCGGCGGCGGTGGCTTAGGTTTGGGAGCCGCCTTGGGGGCTGTTTCCTGCGGAGCCTTGTGAAGTGGTGCCTGTGAAGGTAGCTCCTCCAAATCTAGCAGATTTGCTTGTGGAGGTGATTTTGCTTTCGGAGCCGCCTTAGGGGCATAGGGGATTGGAGGAGCTTTGACGCCAGGGGTTGCCCCTGCAGGTGCTGGCCGTGGCGCATCCTCCGCCGCCGTCTCAGATCTGCGCCAACCTGAGACGCTATATAGGCTGTAGGGTTTAGGGTTTATGCAGAGATTTAGGGCTGATGGCTCGATTCTAGGGCTGAAGGGGTTACCCAGTTCCTGACTTCCCTCAGCCAAAAAGTTTTGAATACGATTGTAGGAATCCAGAGTGTCAAGTGTACTTACCCAACTGCTAAGGTTAAGGATTATGAAAAAAATATTTGGTATTTCTATATCGTCACATGGAATTAAACAGGCAAGAAAGTTAAACAAAACGATAGCTGGAAAAGGTAGAAAGTTTGTGTTTTGCCTTGACTTACCTTTTTCCAGTTTTTTCACGTCAGGTTTCCAGAATTGCCATGTTTCACCTTTTTGCTCACCTTTTTCCGCCTTGGTTTCACCTTTGTCTATCATCGTCTCACTTTTTCACCTTTTTTCACATTTGTTCACCTTTTCCGTAGGACTCCTTGGAAATCCCCCAAGTTCGATTGCCCGGAGATACCTTTGTTTGTACCTTTTGCTTACCTTTGCTTTACCTTTGTTCTCATCCTTTTTAAATGCCTCCTGTTCAAAGGTAACCTTTTTTACCCGTTGGTTACCTTTTTTTCCACCTTTTCCAGGTACTTTATTTTCACCTTTCCACTGGTGTGTCACCTTTTTCTAGGTACCCTTTCTGTTATCTTGATGTTGCCTTTCTTCCGCCTTTGTAACTTTCGCATGACTTATAGAAACCACAACCAATACTGAGTCATCACTTAAGGATGTATGCAGCATTGAACTTGAGTCCCCTCCCGTCAATTCTGTGAATTCTGAAGCCCCTCGGAGTAACACCCAGCAACCAAACCCCAAATGTAGCTCCAAATGTAGCTCAGTTGTTTGGGGACCCCACAGGACCCAAACTCTAAACACTGGGCGGAATCTTGCATGACCCCATGTACCTAAACCTAGGAAGTATGATACGACACGTAGAGTATCATATAAGGGTCATGCAGGATTGTCCAGAAACCTTCAGCAAGGAACCTGGCGACGACCAGCTGGCCTCCTCGACAATGATCTCTGCGGGAACAAGCATTCTGGTCTGGCCGAAATCCTGAGTCGAAGTTGAATTTTTGGGTGGAACCTAGGAACCCGGAGGGATCTAGGGGATTATGGTCTGAGGGATATGTAGGAGTGTCTGAGATATTGTCGGGCCCCTCTTCAATTTTTTTGGATGTATTTCAGAGACTGTAACATCACGGTTGAGGGTTTAGGACATCAGAGCTGAGGTCTAGAGCGCCTCCACCTGTTAAGGCTTTTGGCCTTTTAGAGTTTAGAGGTCTAGGGATTGAGGGTTTAGGGGTTTAGGGTTTAGGAGTTTAGCATGCAGGGTTCTGTTAGCAGGGGTTTAGGATTTAGGATTCTGTTTGTGGGGTTTTTAGGGGTTTAGATCAGCCCCTAAATACGCAAGTTGACATACTTTCCCAAGCAAGCGTCTGACGGAGTTGCCCCCGTAGCTGGCGGCTGGACACTTCGAGCGAGATCCGATATGCTGTGAGCTGGCGGCTCTGCCGACTCAAACAGGGGTTCCGGCGGCGTTGGCTTAGGTTTGGGAGCCGTCTTGGGGGCTGTTTCCTGCGCAGCCTTGTGAAGTGGTGCCTGTGAAGGTAGCTCCTCCGAATCTAGCAGATTTGCTTGTGGAGGTGATTTTGCTTTCGGAGCCGCCTTAGGGGCATAGGGGATTGGAGGAGCTTTGGGGCCCGGGGTTGCCCCTGCAGGTGCTGGCCGTGGCGCATCCTCTGCTCGGCCCTTTGCCGCCAATTGGGCCCACTCTTCCTCCCAACCTCTTTGCGTACGGGCCATCAGATCCGAAAGTGGCCCGTCAGTCTTGACCCCTGGAAGGCTGAAGAACGGCTTGAAAGCCAGCGATTCTGATATGCGTGGAATCCGTGCAGGTGGGGCCTTGTGAAAAGTCTGCAGAGTGGCTGGAGCTGAGGATGCCGACGAGGAGGGCACGGAAGGGCGCAAACTCATGATGTCCCCAGACTCACTCAATGAATTGCTTGCTCGCGGAGGTACCCATTTTCTGGGTCTGCGGGTGGCAGCTGGTTCTGCCAGAGGCATCGGCGAGGCTAAGCCTTCTGCGGGCCAATGCTGGATTGGCAGCTCAGCCAGAGCAGCTAACCCAAGGCCACTGCTCGATGCGTGTTCATTTGATGCTTGCGATCCTGGCTCAACATGTTGCGATGTCCCGCGCATCTTCTTCCAAGCTTTGCCATCAAGCCTCAGGCTGCGGCAGGTGCTGCCACACACATGGGACTTGAAGAAAGCTGCCATGCCCCTTTCGCCAAGGTCACCAGGACCGAAGGACTTCTCAAGCGAGACGACCTGGGGATCTGTCATGATGATATGGGGGCGTGATCGGTCCGCTTTGTCCAGGTGAATGCCCTGCAGGTCTAGGACCATCTGCTTGCCCAGGCTGAACTCGAAGGTGAAATGCGAGAACGCCTGGGCAATCTCATTGTTCGGTGCTTCCTGGTGCACATAGCCATTGTTGTTGTTGTACTTTAGAAAGACACCCGGAAGATAGCGCTCGCAAGCCATGAATTGCGCTGGTGCCTCATCACTTTCTGAACTGTAAACATAGCATTCCTAAGTGTTTCATCGTCAGGGGCCTGAGGGTGGGCTGTTATTGGGGGAAGGAGTAGTTTAAACTGGGCGGTGTATCCTAGACAGTAAATCCTATACCCTACCCCCTAGACCCTACTCCATAAGAACTTGAAACAACCCACGAGGCTCCAACGCGCAGGGGCCAGGGCATAGGAACTTCTGCGGAGGATTTGTTTAGGGTTTAGGATTTGGGGATCAGGCTTGGGCGTAGGTGCGTTGAAAGTCAACCCGGTCTACCCGTTATTCAACAACGACCAGGGCTCCATGAAAATGATCCTCGCCAACTGCTTCGCGTCCTCACCGAGGATTTTCAAAGCGTACTGGCGAAACAGGCGGGCATAGTAGATGGCGACTGCACTGCTTTTGGCATAGGCCGAAACGACCTGGATAGAGTTGTGCTTTTCATCCAAGTATCTGGACACTTTCGCCACCATGCGCATCGGACTGTCGTCTGCAGACTGGATGTTAGGATCTTGGAAGCAGTGGACCAAACGCATGCCACCTTCAGTGTAAGGTCTCGCTCGCATGGAGGCCTTATGATCTGGCCGACTTGGGTGCACTCTCTCTGCGAATGATGTGCCTGTGTAAGTGAAGCCAGTGCGACTGCAAGCAAAAGCAACCACTTGGGTACCACCGCCATTAGCCACGTTTTGGCTGAAGGGTTCGAAAGTGACAGGCCTTCGCTGAGAAAGCTTCTTTTCCCCTGAGCTCCGTCCAGCATCTTCTTGGCTACCATGGCTGCCACCAAATGAGAAGGCGCTTGACTTGCTGCTTTGGCTGGCTGAAACTGTTTGGGTCTTTGTGATTGAGGACGTCACGGAGGCAAATGCCTGATGCAGTGCTGCGATGGAGCGAGAAGATGGCGCAAATTGCCCGCGCCCAATCGCTGCCAACTGCTGCAACATGTGGAAATCTAAGCCCTCGCCAAACCCTATGCAATGTATGTGCAAGGCCGGCGAATCGTGCAACATCTGCTGCACCAGCTCCAACGTCTGTTTGCCATCTGCTGGGCGGCCATCACTGAAGATGAGGAGGTGAGGAGTAAGCTCAGTGCCGGAGTCCTGAGCGATGAGCTCCTGTGCTTTTCTCCTTGGGCTTTGTTACCCTACTACAAACCTCCTGCACCCTGCACTTCAAATTTCTAACAGTAAGGGAAAAGCAAGGAACAAAGATCCCCAACAAGAATCCAGCGTCAAACCTTTCACGAACTGCGTTCCCAACCTTGCGTTGCTCACGCGCAAGGAGGTTACGGATCTGGCCTCCTCAGGTGTGCAGCGTGGATTCCCCGGCATGCGGGCTAGGGTTTAGGGTAACTATGTAGAAGGATAGATGTCTAGGTCTCAGATTGAGGTGTTCGCGTGATTCTTCAGAACTGTGATTACTGCAGCCGCTGGCGCCCCCAATGCTCCTACTGTTTCTGCCTGTGCAAGTCATCTCATGATTCTGCCCTTTTTTGGGACTCTGTCTTGGAGGTGCTTGATCAGCTGGTTCCCACATGAGCCCTCATTATTGAGCCTCAACACTCCACGAAATAATAGAATCCCGCTAATGAACAGGGTTCATACTGAAGGCGTCGGGCAGCAGCCCAGTACGATACACGGATAATTACACGAGTTGAGGACAACATTTGTATATCTTAGCACTACAGCCATCAGCGTGAGAAGGGTGGCGGCCGGTCTTGCGCTTGTACCAAGCTGGACAAAACTGCCAGTTGAGCTATGCCAAAAACAAATCCTCACTGCAGATCTCCTCTGCCAACATCAAAACTTGGGTTCGGGGCAAAAAGTTAATTAAGAAGGAATTCCACGACTAGGAAGTTGCGGAGATCAAGACCTCACAAGAGGTTGCTGCATTACAAATCAAAGGAACATAAATCAAAGAAAACACTGGTTTGCCTACACAAGCAGCACAGTTCTACCAGGGTTGAGATGGCGGCTTCAATCAAAAGCTGTCCCCTACTTGCAGAGAGTCCTGGGCAGATTTCCGGGCGAAGAGTACTTGAGATGCGTCGTTGAAGGTGATGAGCGAGAAGCTGTGACGGCACGATGACCAACTCTGCTCCCCAAAGAATGTGTCTAATGTCCGCCTGACGGCAACCAAACGCGACATACGATCCAATCCTTCATCCATTGCTACATCCTCAGCGCGCATGGAGCCAGATGTATCTAACATCACGATGACATGCGCCGGTTGCACTGATGGAGACACTGGTGCCCAGGATCGTTTGCTTCGGGAGGAAGTGCCTGGGCCACTGCTGAGAGATACACAAGAAACCAATCAAGCACTGGGTTGCTATTAGGGGTATCGAAATATCGTCATAAATGCCACAGTTGCATGGAAGTGGTGCCACAAACTCATCCTCCTCCTCTTCCTCTACAGCACACGCTGCATCGCTTTCCAGCGCTTGGCTGTGCTGCGCGAGAAGCTTAGCCAAGACTGCCTCTGTGGAGTGCTCGTCATGCTCTGCAGCTAGCTGCTCGGCATCTATGATTTCATCATGGTATGCCTTGCCTTCATAGTTCTCCTGGTTGGCAGTCGCATCATGCCTCTGGTTGGTGGCGCCAGGCTTTCTGCCTTGATCCGGCCTGGCATGCTCAGCCTTTGAGCTTTCATATGGCCGCCAGCACGACTGGCAGTAAAAGCTTCCCCTTCTGTCACGCCACCCTGCGCTTTGCGCTGCACACTGCTCACAAGTACCATCTTCAAGGTATGCCGGAGCCTGAGCTCTTGCCTTTGGCTTTACCCGGGCATTTCTAGGCTTGGAGCCCCAAGGGTCACGTTGTGGGCCAGCGGCCGCAGTGCCCCAAGTATCGTACCCCTGACCCCAATCCTGGGACCAAGATGGGCTAGAAGACCATTGATCGCTCCAAGGATTGCTGGCCATCTTCTGAAGATCGCCTCCGTGCAACCCCCTCTACCGCATGACTACCTGTCACTGTCACCTAGAGCCCTGGGAAGTAGCAGGCACAAAAACTGCATCGCAAAGATCCCCAACGTGAACATCAAGCAACAGATGTCCTCTCCGGGATCCCAAGCAAAATCGGAGACTTTCAGCATGATCCATATATTCTGAGAGATCTCTGCATTGGAAACTACTATAGTATATTGGAGTTATATAGGGATTCCTTGCCCCCATTAGGTCTCTATGCTGCGAAACTCTCAGATGGCAGTCCTTCATCCTCTACTTGGAGGGTCAGGGGGACTTAGTAACCAGGCTAATAGCCCCTATAACCCATATAGCAATCCTAATTATCCCTATTATTAACCTACTTACTAAGTCCCCCTGACCCTCCAAGTAGAGAGCCCGGATGCACTCCAGATTCCTTGGCTCGCTGCATTTCCGGTGCTCCAACTTTCGGCCACCTAGGCACTTTGGGGGGGCTCAGAAGCTTTGGATGCTTTTGGGCAAGGTTAAGGACTAGTGTGCTAAAGTTTGGGCTGGGCTATACAACCCCAATATACTATAGTAGTTTCTATTTTCTTTTCCATCATCCTAATTTAACCCCAATACACTATAGTAGTTTCCAATATAGGGGTGAGTCTCTCGCCTAGTTTGGCTACTAGCATGAGCTGAAAGAATCCTGCATGACGGCCTGCTGCACGTATTTGACCCGCTGGGCATGGGGAGGCTTCAATGCATGAGGACTTCGGGTGCAAGGTTGGCTACTGCTTTGGAAGAGACACGTGGAGTTGCGGATGACCTTACACAAGGGCTTCTCGAGCAGCATAGCATCAAAAACTACATGGGTGTGAAGAAGAGATGACAGGATCGCAATGAAATCTGCATCTGCATAAGAACTCTGTTGCCCAAAGTTGCACCCGAATGTATGAAAATCTCTGCTCAGCCACCCTGCACGGCAATGGGTTCACTTGGAACCGAGAATCTGAGGCGCATCCCCTGCCATTCAACAAGACGATATGCGCCCCTGAATCTTGAAAATGGCTGAAACCATGCTGATCAGGATGCTGTGCTGCTGCGGGGTGGCATCCTACAAAGATACCTAAGCAAGTACCAATTTTATTTTGCGGTCTTTTCGAAGTACCCAATCCCATACTTATGCATGGAATCTAAGACCATCATGTTGATGATTCTTCAGGCCCCTACCTTACCAACTGGAACAGGAGCTCCTCCCCGAAGCCTGCTTCATAAGCCACAGAATCCTGCGTCCCCCATCTGTGAGCACCCGACCTTGAATTCCCAAAGCCCGACCTCGCCTGAAACCATAGACCCCTCTGTAGCTCCTGAAGACTCAGACCCCCGCCCTAGGCCCTAAACCCTAAACCCTAAACCCTAAACCCTAAACCCTAAACCCTAAACCCTAAACCTATCCTGATTTTTCTGCTCAGAGCCAACGAAGCTTCAAGGCGAGCAGCCAGAGTTCTCAGCTCGCCAGTGTTTACCGCCGTGGACACCTTAGGCAGCCGAAGTCTCAAACACGAAAAGGATTTCAAAGCAGGTTGCATAGGAAGTTACATTACAAGCCACTTCCAACCTGCAAAGCCAGGAAGGGCATGGAGAAAACTCCGCATTGAACTACGTAACCTAGATCTAGTATATTATGGTATATTATAATATATTACAATATATTATACAATATTATAATATATTGTTGTATTTTTAATCATATTATGCTGTCTATTAATATATTATGAGATTATAGTATATTATGGTATATGATGGTAGCACAGCTGGCCTAACATGACCACACAAAATAGTTAGATTAGTTGCACGCCGGCGCGATACCTTAGTCGGGAACTCAGAAATGGAAGAGGAAAAAAAGCAAGCCGCAAGGGAATGAGAAGAGACATACATGTTGCACCACCTTTCCACAAAAGTCGAGACAAACAACCTAAAAACCCAAATCCAAACATCATCTGAGGTGGAGGCCGTGGGGGAGTCTTATGTCGAGTTTTGGCTAGCAGCGCCATCTGTTTAGCTTTTTTGGTTCAGAGTTTTGGGCTGAGGGCTTAAACCCGGCACCTAAAGCTAGACAAACACGCCTAAAACTTGACAAGCATGCACCAAATCTTGAAGCTTAAAATGCCTAAACCATCAGAACTCTCTAATTAACAAGCACATGCCTCCAATCGTGAGTCCTCAAATCCACCGACGCTCTCCCTACCATAAGACTCCATACCATAAGACGTATTGACCATAAACAGGAAATCCTGAACCCTTAACCCGCAGTACTAGACCCCTACCTCCGAAACTGAAACGCTTATCCCAAAAAATCCCTATACATATAGACCCTACTATACTGTAGTCCTTCCCGTTTTCTTTTCCATTCTATACCCCTACATAACCCTTACACAACCCAATCTCCAACCTTGAAACCGAACAATTTCTCGAACTCTGGGCTTCCTGCAGAGCTGGCGCGGGAGCCTGTTACGGCTTAAGGCAAATATAGTATTCTATAGTATAGTAATATATCATGAAATACTATAGTATAACATATTGTAGTATATTTTCAAAATTGGGGTTCAGGGTTGAAGGTTTTGGAATAACCGGAAAATTTGTCGGTTCAGGGTTTAATGTTTAGGGCTCCAAGTTGTGAGGGTGTGGGCTTAAGGCTCAGAGCTTAAGTTAATCCCTGGAAAAGACGGGTTTGCCTCGATTTTGGTTCAGCTTTGTTCTGGTGAAATCAATATGAGCCGTCTTCACAATGACAGTTGCCACAGGCGGCGCTGTCGTCATAATAGCCTTCATAGCCCCTAGAAACAAACCTGTCCAAAATTGCTGCTTCGTGGAGTAATGGCCGGCGGTGCAAGGTTTACTGATCTGCAGTTATAATCCTACCTAGTCCTAGAACATGGCTATGAAAACTGCCCTCCTCAAACACTTTTCGAACTAAGGTGAAACCTTAAACAGCCCGACCCGAAGCCCCGAAACCCTGAAACCCTAAAGCTCCCAAAGCCAACTTGGATCGGACCGCCCCGCAACCGCAAGTTGCCCAGAGTCTCAAACTAAGCTCCAGGGGACCCTGCCGGGATATATCATATATATATAAGTACAAATATATATATATATATAAGTACATATATATGTATATATAGGTATATATGTACTTATATATACGTATACACATGCA